TTTTTATATATATATATTTTTTTTTAATATTTTCAATTTTTGGCTGCCTCTTATTGTCTGCACTGTGAGCTTTGAGTTAAGCATGTTGTAGTTGTTGTTTAATGCATTTTGTTTTTAGGTATTTGCATCAGAAAGCAAGCACAGAACAATAGAGAGCAAATATGTAATATGAGTGTGAAAAATGTGTGAGCGAATATTCAATTTATAAAATGAAATAAATCTGACCGAAAACATCAATATTATTGCTCGACAAGCAAATATCCAGTTGCAAGAATTGATATGTCATTAGAATTGTTCGAGTTCATTTGACTAAAATAAACAGAATTGAAAATTTAATTATAATTGATTGAAACCTTTTTCACATAGTCAAAAGTATTAGTTTTTCATGCATTGTGCAGAAATATAATATGCAAATGAGCTTAAATAAACTAGATATATTTCATTTGTAGAGTATATTGAAATGAGTTCTTGGAAGAGCACTAAATTCATAGAAAGACTTATATAATCATACCATAGTCAGGCTCTTCATGCATATATACTTTTGTAGATATTCAGATCTATTTATGTATATATATAAATGGAATATATATTCTTTTCATCTCACTTTCTATTGAGAATAGCTAAGTAAGCGCAGCTGCTGTTCACGTTTCTCTTCAACCTGACATTAAAACCTGGTTTGACATCAAATTAAATATACACAAAATAAATTTAAATCTTCATTTATGATAACAATAGTTCAGTCGGCAAACGAATCAAAAAAAAAAAAAACTTCTTAAATTAGTCAATAATCAATTGAAATTCCTTTCGACTGCGACCGACAAAGGAATTTTGCTTCTAATTCCAATTAATATAAAACGAAATTCCTCTTCTAAATGCCTGCACATAGAAATCAAATAAAAAAAAAAAAAAAAAGCAAAAGCTGAACTTTTGTACACTTAATCCCTGTTGCGAAGCATACGCTTTGAGTATTTACATATTTGATGTGTTTGTGAGTAATATTTAATGATTTTCATTTGAACGTACTGCATTCGACTGCTTCTCATATTGATTCAATGCGACATGAATTTACTTTTTTACTGCTTCATACAAAGTTTTTAATAGCCATTCATTTTTCAAGAGAGCTGCATACAATTTTGACTGCATTGTACATTTTATTCCGACTACTATTTTTTTCCAATTTTTACTAACACCCATATTATTTTTTAAGGTTTATCCTTTACTTTTGCAGGCACAGTAAGCAACAAAAGCAAAAAAAGAATATCAAATTAAAGCAGAAAAAAAAAGAAAAAAATCCAATTTTTTTTTAAGTACAGCAGAAGCTCTGAACAAAACGAAAAAAAAAACAAAATCAGCTGTAAATAAATGCGAAGCGCCGAGCAATTGCTTAATTGACGTCGAATGTTGAGTGCAGCACCCAAAAGCCAAAGCCAAAACCGAAAACCAAAAACCAAAAACCAAAGTAGAACCACAACAAAATATGCTACAGCACACACACATATACACACACACACACATGCATCTGCAGCTGCTCATGATATATTAGCTTCATAAACAGTTGCAGGTGACCCTTAAATAAGCCTTAAATGCGAAAAATACAAAAATTAAAAAATAAGTTGCTCTAAAATAGCATACACACACACACACACACACACACGGTTCTCCACAATCCCACAACCTCACACATACACATACATATATATAAATTAATGCTTCATATAAATGTGTTATGCATGCCGCGTAAAATAAAATTAAAATTAAAAAAAAAAAGAAAACCAATTTTAAGTAAATGTAGAAGAAATTAAGACAATTAAAAACAAATATATTGCGTAAATAAGTAAAACAAAAAATTTGGTAATGAAAAAAGAGAAGACCATAAATTAAGTATACTATTTTCTGAGCGTTGTGCACAAAGCAGCCTAGGATGCACATTAATACATACACACAGACAGAAACACACACACGCACATGCGTTATATGATGAAAATAAACATAATTAAAAATGCGTTGTAATTAATTACGCGCAGATACACAAACAAACACACACACACACGTACATACTCTATTTATTTATAAAAATTCTGAGGTCGACACACACACACACACATACAGATATCTGAACGCGTTTAGCATTGCCTACTTTTGTGCGCAGAAAGCGTTTATCGCATACATGACCTCACACACACACACACACACATACACTCACTATTTAATGTGTCAATGATGAGACACAGACAGCACTAGTGCCTATTACTATCGTAGATCTAGACGAGAACATCGCCACATTGCCAACTGCCAAGCCAAGCCAAGCCAAGCCAAGCCAAGCCAAGCCAAGCCAAGCCAAGCCAAGCCAAACAATTGATGAACTCGACTTTTCCTGCTATCATTTTCCTATAGTCTGCAACAGAATGTTACAAAGAATTGTTAGCACAAAGCTCATACAACTATCTAAGTAGTCCTTTATTTTGTGATTGCTCAGTAATTGAAAGACATGTTCCTACACACCCACAGTCACACACACACACACACACACATTTACCAAGCACTCGCAGTTAATAGTATCTGAAATAACTAATAATCGTTACTATCTATCAAACGTTGACAAACGCAACGCAAGTCCAATGCAATCCAGCCACAAGCTTAACTCAAACTGAAACTCGTAATTCGACGCTCGATATTCGATGATGATATCTGGCCGAAAATCGGAAATGGCCATCACAAACACAAGCATACGTTTTATCTGTCTCACAGGCTTTGTAATTAATAGCAGCAACACAAACACTAATTTCCTTTATTTCACCTAGTTTGCGATAATTTCGATTTTGATTTCTTTGATCAATATGAACGTCACTCGATCTTGAAAAATCCCTCAAACGACATGTACAAAGCCACATAATATCAAAATTCAACATCATACGTATCTGTTTTACCTTACTTTAATATCAACTTGTTTATGGTACTCAAACGTATAAAACGTATATGTTTTTATTTCAGTTGCCAGAAGATGAATGGTTAGCTGCAAATTTATTGTGTTAGAAACAAAGAAACAAAGAAAGCCCAGAAATCCGAATTACGAATTATGTAAAGCTAATTACAGATGACACCCATGTGTTCCACAGGTCTTTACAATTTCACATTTGCCATACATCAATTAGACGAGATTACCTGCACGCCCGCTTCCCCCCTTTGCCGAGGCTCAGCTCGAGTCGATTCTCATGCCAAAGGCAGCGACTGTAGGCGCCAATTGGTTGTGGTTCGATTCAAGTACTGCAATATTTGGGGGCCTTGCCAAATCGGGGAATGCTAGTTGGAAGAGGCTTGTGAAATGTGTGGGCGGACGGGGGGAGGAGGAGTTAGATTAGCTGACACTGTGGCAGACGCCCGATAAACACAAACACATGCATATACTCATACTTATATAGACGTACGTTCAATGAATACAATCAAAATATGCCATCGAATGATATTAATTGATATTAGCCATAATAAATGCAAATTCGCAATATAAATACGTATATATAGCAATTAAATGAGCGCATTAACAATTCGCTACACCGAAAACAAGCCCAAACTCAAACCCCAAACCCCAAACCAAACCCCAAACTGAAATGAAAATATTATAATGCATATTCCGAAGATCCTGTTTCATTTACGCATGTCCGAACATGCGCCAAGCACAGCAGCAAAAGCAATTAATTCAAGCCAGCGAGACAGGAAGGGTGCATTCAGTACACACACACACGCACACACACACTCAGACACAAACTCGGGCATAATTGAATAACTGAATCATACTCGCATGAGCATGAGTATGCCCATTAAGTACATATACATACATATATACCATATAGTATAAGACTAGCTGAGCCATCACACATAGGGCTCTAGGTGCTGCTCGATGATTATAGTTCAAACAGCCACGCCTCCGACTGGCCGCCCCTGAGAGGAATATATACATACATATATAGAAAGCGTAGTTCAGTAAAGGTCAAAAATAGTTAGTCGTAACACACACACGGACAGACAGATACACATACATACATACACTTGCAACGGCTTATGTAATAAGTGGAAAAAATATGCTTATTTAACATGTATATGGTTACATACACATATTTAAATATGCATATATATACATACATAGCTTAGTGGCATATGCAACTTAATATAAATATACATACACACAAATATGCACATATATATATATATATATATATGTGCCAATCGGTTATTCATTCATTTATGTATATGTGAACATTTTCTGGATGATTAATTACAAATATATGTTCAAAGCGAAACAAAAAACAATTCAAGCGATAAGAAACCGATATAAATGTAATAGATCATCATTGAGAACGAATCGAGCAATTAAATTAAAGTTTTAGTTGAACTGGTCAGCTGAAGAGGGGGTCAGCAGGAGGAGGAGCAGGAGGAGGTGCTGGATGTCAATTCGCACGTGGCGCTTGCCTATATTATTTTATGTGTATGGGTATTAATAGTTTTGTATACAAGCCACAAAATCACACACACACACACACACACACATACACAGACAGACATAAGCATATGTTATGTTGCTTTTCGCATAGAGGCAAACAGAGATGGATGGCAATTAGTAGTACTATAGTTCAAATACATAATTGAGTGTTGTGTATGCATGTCTATAGCTGAACGAGCTCTCTTACGCAGGATCGCTAAGTATAGCATTCACCATAACCTTAACCGTAACCGCAACCGTAACCGTAACCTTAACCGTAACCTTAACCGTAACAGTAACCGTAACCGTACCCTAATCGAAAGAAACTACGAAGCCGACATAGCTTAAGAAACTAGCGAGTTGTAATGTCTATTAAGATGTTTTTAGCACTAGAATTAACGGACTTTGCGAGGGACAGTGCATGCTCCAGCATGACTGGAGGCGACTTAGATGTAGATGTGATTTTAAGCCAGAGCAAAAAGAGAGATTGAAGCTGATGCGATGAATGCATTTTTATGTTGTTATTTTCTTTAAACCAAGAATGAGGAAAAATGAGGAGAAGAGGACGAAAGGAAAAAAAAAACTTTTTGTTAAATAAACGATATCTTAGGCAGATGAAAATTTAAAGCATTGTTGACCAAACCAATAAAAAAAAAAGTTAAAAAAAAAAAAAGAAAAGACATTTGGCTATAAGAAAAGCAGCACATTTACGAAAGCAAACTTTATATTTAACACAAAATAAAATATGGGAAAAGATAAAAAACCAAAAGAGAAATTATATACAAATATTATTGGTTTGTTTGTTAATGTTTGCGCAACATATCAGTGAAGAGTTAAATGAGTAGTTTCCACATAGAAGCTTACCCAGAGTTGAAAACTATAAATAATATAAAAAACACACAAAAA